AGGAGGGAGAGCGAGGCGGGTCCCCGTCCACGAGAGGTGCCAGCTGACGTGCCAGGAGTGCAGGGTGGGTGCCTGGCTGGCCCACAGAAGGGCAGGACCGGTGCAGTTGCCCTGAGCACTGACACCGTCATTGTCCCTTCCTCAGCTACACGAAGCTCCAGCCATCACCTAGCCTGGGGCAGCTACAGCCCCCCCCGCTGTGCCGTGAGGCTCACAGCGCCTGGCGCTCCTCTACCCTTTTCCTCACGCAAGGGTTGCCAGGTGTTCGGTTTTTGAGTGGAACGCTGGGTTGAAAAGGGACCCTGGGTGCTCTGGTCAGCACTGCTGACCGGGCCATTAAAAGTCCGCCTGGCTGCCCGGCTCCACTCAGCTCCCAGGAAGCTGCTGGCATCTCCCTTTGGCTTCTAGGTTTAGGGGCGGCCACGGGAGCTCTGTGCGCTGCTCTCCCCACCCTCAGCGCCGGCTCCGCATCTCCCATTGCCCAGGAACTGCAGGGGGACGGCACCTGCAGGCAGGGGCAGCACGCAGAGCCGCTTGGCCACGCCGCCACCTAGGAGACAGAGCGTAATGCTGACAGCTTCCCAGGTGCCGCCTGAGGTAAGCGCTACCCAGAGCCCACAGCCCGAACTCCCTCCCATGCCCCAAGCCCCTGCCCTGAGCTCCCTCCCGCACCCAAACTCCCTCCAGTCAGGCCCTGTCAACCGCAGAGGCTTGCCTGCAAGTCAGCGTCCGGCACACAAACTCGGCACCGGTATTGCTGAAACACACTGGCTATGTAACCACATTCCAGCAGCCAGCACAAGCACACCCCACCCCATCCCACGGAGCGCAGTCTGTTGGCCCTAGTATTGCTACAGACCCCTGACCCCTGCTGCAAGAGCGCGGCTTGGCCTTAAGCAACCGCAGCCCTGGTGAAATCCCCCCCCCCCCTCGGTGGCTGGGGCTCCTGCCAGCATCGGCACGACGGTTTATTGACCAACTACCTGGCCCCACCCCACATCGTCCTCCCAGGCGCTTATAGAGAGCAGCAGGTGACGGTGCCCGGAGCTCACTCTGTCCAGCTCTGCAGGAATCCAGGTGGGCACATGCCAGCCCCACTCTGCACCCCACAGGGCACCGGTCTCCATGGAACACCTCTGCCCCCAGCCCGGCTCTTCTCCCCACAGCCCCAGCTGGGCAGTGTTAGTACAGCCGGGGCCAGCACCAAGCCTGCTGCTCAAGGGGCTGCCATGGGGACCCGGGGAGCTCGGGGGGGGAGGGGGATCTGGGCAGGGCTGGGACGCTGCCCTAGGGCGATAGGCTGGGCTTGGAGCCCGGGGAGCCTGAGCGCAGGGGGATCTGCTACCCAGGGGCTCTGGGGGTGTTTGGCGCTGGCCCAGCAGCGCCCCCTCCTGGGGGTGGCAGGCGGCTGTGACAGGCGCGTGTCCCCACAGGGCCGAGTGAGAGGAAGATGCTGCTGCTGACGCGGGTCGTGTTGCTCTCAGCGCTCTGCGCCGCGGCGCTCGGTGAGTTCGGATCCCCCGGGCTGTGTGTGGGGGGCAGGGCTGGGAATCCCTGATGCAGCGCAGAACCCAGGGGGCGGAAACGCAGGCGTGGGAAATTAACGATGGAGGCACCCGACTAACCCACCCCCTGGCCTGGTGCCTGGGCTGGACCTGCCCCTGCAGACCAGGAACTGTCCCTCGGCTCCCGTCCAGCCCATCCCTCCTCAAGGCAGGGCTGGGTCGTCCCCTGCCGCCCGTTCCCAGAGCCCTAGTGTTCATCGGCCCAAGGGACGAGGCCCCTGGCCCTGCCCACGGGGAGCTGATCCCAGAGCATCACACACCTTTAATGGATCCTGCACTTGGCCTCAGCAACATACTGTGGCAATGAATTCCTTTTCTCAGGGTCAGATGTTCTGACCTTCCAGTTTCTGGGACATCGGGGTCTGTCCTGGCCGCCCCGTCTCTGAAGGGACCCGGCAGAAGGATCAGGGACGGAGAGAGAGCGGAAAGGCTGCAGAGCAGAGGGGACAGGCTGGAGGGCTGCAAGTGACCGGAGGGGGCAGAGGAGACAGACTGGTTCTGAGCCGCACACCCTCGGCGGGAGCTTCCCCCGCCCAGGGTGAGTTCGGAGCACCAGCCCCACCCATGTTCTCCAGCCCAGCCCTTGCTTGGCCTCCCTCCAGCCTGGCCTGGCTCCCCGTTCACCCCTTTCCTGCCAGCGGCGGGTGCTGCTGCTCGGCGAGCAGGCTCCCGGCCAGGCCTCTCCCCAGCCCCGTCTCATTTAACGCAGGGCTGCGTGTCCCCCCTGCACCATGCTGGGCCTTTGCTGGCCTGTCCCCCCACCCAATTGCCGCGGCCCCACTCGGGGCACCAGCCCTGGGCCCGATCCTGCTGCGTGGGCTGGGGCAGGTGGGGGGCAGCCACATTAACCCAGCCCTTTCTCCCCTCCCCCGCATGGCACAGGCTGCCCCCGCATCGTCTCTCGCTCCCAATGGGGGGCCCGGGCCCCAAAAAACAGGGTCCGGCTGAGGACCCCAGTGCCCTTCGTCATCATCCACCACACGGAAGGGAATCCCTGCACCTCACAGGCCTCCTGCAGCCGGCAGGTCAGGGGCATCCAGAACTATCACATGAACTCAAACGGCTGGTCCGACATCGGCTACAAGTGAGCGGGGCAGGATGGGGGCCTCGCCACAGCTATGGGGGAGACTTGGGGCCACTGCCCACAAGCATCCACAGGGGGGCAGCAGAGACCACACTCTGGGTAGAGCTGGGGGTAGGGGGGGGGGATTCTCCACAGAAGAGATTTGATTTTTATATTTAATATTTTTGGCTGAAAGGAAGGTATTGGGGAGGGTGCGCTCAGAGCCCCAGCTGGACAGAATGGGAGGCACAGACCGCCCCTGGCAGGGGGTGAGAATGGGACCCTGGCATAAGGGGAAGGGAGTGGGAGCACAGAGCCCCTGGCAGGGGGAGATTGGGAGGGGACTGAGGGAGTCCTGAAAAGCAGAGGATGGGAAGGGGCAGTCATGGAGCTGGTAGGGGATAGAGGGCTGCAGGGAGCCCCTGGGTTGTGCCAGGAGCTCGGCCGACAGACGTCGCGCGGCCTGCGCCCTGCTCGTCTGTGACACCGCCCCGTGCTGGTGTTACCAACGCCTTTCCCTGGGGTCGGCCTGACGCTCCACAACGAAAACCTGGCCGGAGATTTTGCTCCGTGAAATGTTTTGAGATGGCGACGTCAGGGGATGGAAACCCAGCTGGGAATTTCCCGCAGGGCGGCGGGTCCCAGCGCTGTTCTCCTGCCCCACATCTGGGCCGGCTACAGCCCTCGCTCGCCCCCCAGCTGGGGCCCAGGGCTGCTTCCATAAGGGGTGTTACACACAGCGCCACCTAATGGCCAAACAGTGCAATACAGGTTAGGACCCCACCAATCCAGTCCCTTTCCTCAGTTGGTCTTTACCTCCATGGCAGAGGATTGAGTTTCTAGCTCCGAGGGTCCCAGGTTCAAACCCGGGCAGGGCCAGCAACGACCCTGGGGGAGCTGCCGGGAGCGATGGGGAGGGGAGGCTGCGGCCGACCTGCCTGTGCGGGTCTCACACTGCGCTCTGCCTGCAGCTTCCTGATCGGCGAGGACGGCAACGTCTACGAGGGCAGAGGCTGGAGCACCATGGGGGCCCACGCCAAGAACTGGAACCATAAGTCACTGGGATTCAGCTTCCTGGGCAGCTTCTCCAGTACGTGGGTCCCGTCTGTACGGATTTCCCCAGCTAGGCCCCGAGGGGAGCTGGGAATCCCTCCTGCAGGGCTCCCGCCCACACCTGCTCTCCCCTGCAGACCTGACACCCAGCTGGCCTCACCACCATCCCGCTGGGCTCCACCCCTGTGGAGTTCCCCTTCCCCCTCCATGGGGTACCAGGCGGGGGCACTGGGCCAGGATAGGGGTGGGGGAGGGACCTTGGTAAGCAAATGCAGCGGTGCAGAGGGGAGATGCAATACTGAATGCGAGGTGGGAGGAGGGAGTGACATTGACGTGGCCAATGGAGAGCGTGGGCAGAGGGGGGGTTATTTATTCAGGCCACAGTCACGTCCCCTGAGCAGCAGAGAGGGACCAGGGTGAGATTAACAGGGGGCTGCTCTGTCCTGCAGGCAGAGTGCCCAACAACGCCGCCCTGAACGCCGCCAAGAGCCTGATCCAATGCGCCGTCTCCAAGGGCTTCCTGAGCCGCAGCTACTTCCTGAAGGGGCATCGCAACGTGAACCCGACCGACTGCCCCGGGAACGCCCTCTACAAGGTCATCAGACAGTGGCCCAGGTTCAAAGCCTGAGTCCCTGCAGCCTCGGGGCAGCCCCTGACCCCGCCTGCGGCTTCTGCCTGCCCAAGCAGCACCTCCGCCCCCCAGCAGGGGGCAGCCTCGCGCTTCTCGCCCACCTGCTGCCTCCTGGGGCCTGGAGAGCAGGGATCTGAGAGTTGGGGTTACGCTCCCGTCTCCCCTGGGCTCTGCTGCCGTCACCCCAGGGCTCAGATTTCTAATGGTGCCTTGGAGCCAACTGCCCCCCACCCCAGGTGGC